GGGGGGGGACCAAAGCTAAACAATAACCCGAACCCAAGGCTGGATTAGTGTAGTATGATTTACATTCATACTAAAAAGGATATAAGAGGGGGAGAACAACCTTAAAAAACTGGTGAAAGAATTTAATCAGAAATTCGTAGGGTCCTGCTGATCTCTGTGACCAAAAACGACGCCTAACTGATGGAGCGAAACGTATTTACTGTGACAAAAGCCAGGAACATGAGAGATAGTGACGACCATTCCTTTGAAAGCAGCCTCCGCTACGTGTTCTGGTCGAAATCACTATCCTTCAAGATATGATGGCATATCGTAGGCCGCTTACTTATCTTACGAAGTCAACTTCATAGCGGTCTATGACATTGATTTCCACCCTATGATTTATACATTGACATCCTTACAGACGGTTCGACATTTCCAAAAGATGTCGACAAAAAGAGCGGTAAAACTGAAACTGAAGTATAAAACTGACACGATATAGGCCCCGAATTCCTTCCTTCCTCGAGATATTGATAAATGCATCCCATGTGCTAGTATAAACAGTATGTTGTTTCTGTAGTTGTAGACGACTTCTGAGTACTGCCAGCGGGTACAAACACATGCGCACAGTCCATGTACTAAATAGAACAGATTCAGAACCTAGACTGAAAAAACCACCAAATTATCTACCTGGTGAGCGCTGCCGGATAGAATATTGATAGATCCATATGGTCCCATTCGATCACTTGCAGCATACCATAGTTGTCTCTACCGGCCACAATCTGCAACTCATCGTCACCGGGCGGCAACGGAAATCGAGGTGACGATGGCTTTTGAACCACATGCCCATGTGGTAGCGGTTCGAACGGAAGTGACATTGTTATCGACGAGTTGGAACGCTGCTCACTGTAATTAAGGATGTCTTCGTCGAAAAGTAACTTGTTACAACAGTGCAAAGTGCAAAAACGTACCGACACACCCGGTCTGCGTCGAAGCAGCTATGATCCTTACCATAAGACATTTTCGTCCGTCGTTGATCACCATATCACTCCATTCTTATATGAATCATTTTTACAAAATATACGCTCACTGTAGCACACTTGATGTCAGTAATGTTCATCACATGTTCAGCTTTCACGGACAAATCAAGACCAGTTCAAAATATTTAATCATGCTTGAGATTAAGTTATATGTTCAATTATAAGACCGTTCAAAAGTCTGATACAGAAAAGCAAGCCTCAAAAAGAGATAGCAACGACCCAAACGTTTCATGAGTGCTCGCTTTGACAACTTTTTTTCATGAACAGATCGATAAGAGGCTCAGCACTATTAAAAACAGCTGAGAGTAAATACAGGACATACGCACTACGTTTCACAGTTGAACAGAACTCGTAGAGGTTTGAAATTGACAAAAGAAGAAATATTTTATAGTGAGTCATAGAAATGACGTAGAGGATGAATCATGCATAATAATTGAGACTGGCTTTCTTCTTGGCTTGGACCTCCAGAATCGCATCCATATAATCTTCATGAAGAACCTCTGTAGCGTCACGTCGTAAAGCGATCATACCCTAAAGACACTGCTGACTGTCAGAGTGTAAATGAAAAGGCCAATTGGTAAGAGCACAAAACCAACCGCTTCAACACACACTGCTTTACACTGGGCACCATTGAAGTCATCAGTACAGCGAGCTAGCTCTTCAAAGTTGACGTCCTTGCTGAAAAAAAAAA